AGAGAGAGAGAGAGAGAGAGAGAGAGAGAGAGAGAGAGAGAGAGAGAGAAGGGAAGGGAGGAGGGAAGGGAGGAATTTTGGATTGCATGCAGGGTACTTAAATGAGCAATAATTGGGAAAAAAAGGAATCGGTAAAGCTTCTTCTTCTTTTTTTTCCTTTTTTTGTTTTTTAACAATATCCCCCCCGGGTTTGCTACATGTGTGCTGGTATGAGCAAACTCCCCTAGCAATTCCTGCGGTTGGCTCCAGTCCATTGATGGGGAGCTCCACCTGCTCGAAATCGGGTCCAGCGTCTCTTACAGTACAACAAGGACTGATCAACATTGAAGGAGAGTATGTGAGGAACTTCCCTTGCCCTGGAATTCCCCAGGGGTGTGGTCCCACTAGCAAAGAGGATCGGATAGAATGCCGTAATCTGGACGAGTTTATGGAGATGTGCAGGAAATCGAGATGGAACTGCTTTTCTGCATCTCTGCTGACAACACATCCAGATTCAGGAGCTGGATCCTATCCTTTTTGCTAGTGGGACCTCGGCCCAGGGGATTGACTGAGCAGTGAGCAGTACTAAAAGAGCCTCAAGGTACGAACTTACGGTACCTTTTTGTGTTTGGCATTATTTTCAGCGCTCGATTTGTGCTGCTGGGGAGCCATTCGAAATCAACAGGATCAATTCAGGTGTGTGTTTCAAGAATTGAATTATTGAAGTTTAATAAAGTTTTACATTTAATGATTAAATTATTAATTTGATAATTGTAGGTCGTGTACAAGCGGGCCACACTTCAATGCACCCGCCTGGCTGGGACCGGGCCGGTTCATTTAGGCCCAAAACCTTCCGGCTCGGTAATAGAGTGTCCGCCGTACTGGCGCTTTAAGAGCAAGTCTCCAATTTGACAACATGGATGGGGGTAGGTAGCTTGGGAACTCACTCTGTGCCTGGCTGCGACCGGGTGCTTTTTGTCCTGATCCAGGCAATTATATACTGTGGAAGTTTTTTTTTTTTTTTTTTTTTTTTTGTTTTCCCTTTTTTCCGAGGCTCCCAACCGGGCCGCCGGGGTCACCTTGTTCGCCTGGGCGGCCCGGCCGTGCAAGGGCAAAAGGAGGTCCCAGCACCAAAAAAAAAAATAAAAATAAAAAAAAATTCTGAAAAAAGTTCAAAAAACCCTATTTTATGCAGAAAACTTTGGCAACCTGGTCTGCCTCAGGGTAGACCCTGGGAATCGCTGGGCTTGGAATGGACTCTGTGCACCCCGGGCCCAGGGTCCAGGAGCAGACCATTGACATTTCGAAGTATAAATCAAGTGGCAGCGTCAAGTCATATTCATTCTGCCTGTGAACCATGCGGAACCGCTGCCTGAGCGTCTTGTGCAAGGATGTCTGCCGGTGCCCGAGGAAGAAGAGGGCTGAGAAGAAAGAGATGCGGCCATAGCCGCTGGGGTTGATAGTGTAGGAGAAGGCAGCCATAACTGCCATAGCTTAGTGTTAGAGTGTTAGTAGAAGTGAGTGTATGAGTGTGTGTGGGACATCCAGGGAGATCCAGGGTGTGTGTACAAACAAGTTGTTAAGAGTGCGCGTATCGGCCATAGCCGACTGACTTAACAACTTTTGCGTCAGGGTGACATCGAAATTCCTTACCAAATTTTAAATAAAAATTGAAGTTCAAAATACATTTGATCTCTTGATTTTTTTTTGGCCCCGCCGAGCAAGTGGTCGGGGGCCACTCTGCTAGCCTAGCTTTTTTTCTTTTTTCGCTCATCTATAGATTCTCTACCTTGAAAAATCTCACGTTGTGACATGGTCATTGTCATGGACTGTAAGCCCCCTAGTTTCTGGAATGGAAAGCCCATGCAGCATGAATCACTGCATAGAGGCAGTATTCTGGCCAGATACCTTCATTATGATAACATGTACCCGTTCTATTTTTGGAAACGATGCCTCCCCCAGTTGGCTACAATGATTGGCGAGAATGAGACATGTTGGATTCTTCTGCCGATAAGTCAACGATGACAATGCGCAGCAGTTGATTCGATGAGCGAAAAGCAAAAGGGAGGTTCAAGGAGCAACCATGGATGGATAGATAGACTGTCCATCGGACGGAAAGCCGCCCGTCTACATAGTACTAGGGACTGGGGTATTCCATAGGTGGCAGTTGGTTATGGAGGTACCCCATAATCGGACTGCGGTTGTAGGGGGTAACCCAGGGTAACCTCTAGCAGCAGTTGGTACCAGAGGGTACTGGGTTACCCCGTGGAGAGCAATAGGGTGGTTGAGGGGTACCCTGATAACGAACTGCTTTCTATTGGGTGGGTGGGTACTGACTGGGTACCCCCATAACCAAGTGCTTTTCTATCGGGTGCGCCACTACCAGAGGGTACTCAGTTACCCCATGGACAGCAGTAGGGTGATGGGGTACCCCCATAACCACCTGTCTTCTATGGGGTGCCTCAGTACCAGAGGGTACTGGGTTACCCCATGGACAGCAGTAGGGTGGTTATGGGGTACACCCATAACCAAGTGCTTTTCTATTGGGTGCGCCACTACCAGAGGGCACTCAGTTACCCCATGGATAGCAGTAGGGTGATGGGGTACCGCCATAACCAACTGTCTTCTATGGGGTGCCTCAGTACCAGAGGGTACTGGGTTACCCCATGCGCAGCAGTAGGGTGGCCAAGTGGTTTTCTATGGGGTGCGCCACTACCAGAGGGTACTCAGTTACTCCATGGACAACAGTAGGGTGGTTATGAGGTACCCCCATAACCAACTGTCTTCTATCGGGTGCCACAGTACCAGAGGGTACTGGGTTACCCCATGGCCAGCAGTAGGGTGGTTATGGGGTACCCGCACACCATACCCCCATGACCAGCCACTTTCTATGGGGGCCCCCAGTGCCCACTGCTGTCAAGGGGTTAACCCAGTACGCTCTGGCACTCGTTTCTGCCCGAAAGGTGCTGTGTTAGCCCATAGATCACAGTTGGGTTATTGGGTACCCCCATAACCAACTGCTGCCTATGGGGTACCCCAGTTCCCACTGGGACCCTTGGTGCCAGCGGGTACTGGCTTGGCCCATCAACGGTATTAAGTCGGTGGTTATGGGATGTACCCTGTCACTCACTGCTGCCGGTGGTACCTAGCACCAACTGGGACCCCAGTCCCCTCTGGGTCCTGTTGGTACCTTGGGCCTTGGGTTATGGGTTAGCCGGTTGAAAGTATGAAGTAGCTGGTTATGGGATGTACCCTTCTACACATCGCTGCGGTGCTGCCTATGGTACCTTGTAGGAGTCGTAGCCAATGGGACCAGTGGGTGCTGGCAGGTAGCACTATTGTCAAACCTTCCCCTCCAACCCCCCTCCCTCCCCACCTCCCTCCTCTTTTAGGCTTTTTTCCCTTTCATTTTTGCAAACCTATTCAGCATTTTTTGCCTTGTGCCGTATGCTCTTCACCCGAATAGAACTGCCGGTCTTTATAGCTGTATTGGGTGCAACTTCCAGTCCAGATGCGTCAATAATTACGGGGCAGAATAGCGTGTGACGTTCAACTCCAGAACTGTCCGTCTGCAGAAGGGTCACAGGTTGGTGCAGGGGACATGCAAAATGGTTTTGGGACTCCCAGTTCCAAAAGTGCCGGACTGGGGACACCAAGTGGCCTACCTCAGTTGGTACACCACTGAACTCAAGTCTCTTGAAATACAGACCTGAGTTCGAACTCGACAAGAAGCAGATGAGTAAAAGACATGGGGGTGTACCAACTGAGGCAGGCCACTTGGTGTCCCAAGTCCTATACCCTAAACCACAGATTGACTACAGTTCTAAAATTACATATCGACCACAAGTCTTTTTTTCACACATCTGCTTCTTGTCGAGTTCGAACCACAAGTCCTAAACCCTAAACCACAGATTGACCACAGTTTCTGAAATTACATAGGGCCCGTGAGTGAGTTCAAGGGCGATATCTCAAGGCCATCGCAGTTTGTTTTCTTTTTTTTGTTCTTTTTTTTTTGAAGGAAAAAAAGTTGTGGATGTGCAGAAGGCAGATGCAGTGGAGTGGAGCCTTCATTGAGTGGTATGGTCTCTGGGCCCATCTTGTAGCGTACTCTGGTCCCAGGGACTGGTGCTCAATCTCGGGTTTAGGGATTGCGACGTGTGGTCGATCTCTGGTGTAGGGTTTAGGGTTTAGGATTTGTGGTCAAACTCTGGTCTAGGGTTTAGGGTTTAGGAATTGAGGTCAATCTGGGGCTAAGGGTTAGGATTTAGGACTTATGGTCAATGTGCGGTTTAAGGTTTAGGGTTTAGGGTTAAAGGCTTAGGACTTGTGATCAATCTGTGGTTTAGGGTTTAGGATTGGTGGTAGATCTCTGGTGTAGGGTTTAGGCCCTTAGGGTTTAGGATTTGAGGTCAATCTGTGGCTTAGGGTTAGGGTTTAGGACTTGTGGTCAGTGTGCGGCTTAAGGTTTAGGGTTTAGGGTTAAAGGTTTAGGACTTGTGGTCAATCTGTGGTTTAGGGTTTAGGATTGGTGGTAGATCTCTGGTGTAGAGTTAAAGGTTAGGACTTGTCTGCTTGTTTTTTTTTTGAAAGGAGGACTCACAAAAGTGGCTATGGTGCAAGGGATGCGCATTAAATGGGAAAGACTGGCCCAATTTGGACCCAGTCAATGCAAGTTAAGACAGCCCGCAGGCAGCCCAGGACCCAGGAGCCGATATGGAACATTAGCATCATTTTACAGCCACTCGCTCGAGAACAGCGTCAGCTTACTATGACTTTGAGTAAAAGACTGTAGGGACCACCAGTCTCACTCTTGATTGCAAGCTGGCAGACAATCGTCCAAGCAAATGAACCAATCGATGCTGATCAGGGGTCCTTCGGGAAACGGAAGCAAATGTTCGACTTTGCTGTAAACATGTGACCCTGGATTCCTTTTCCGCAGGCGGAAAAGGAATCGGACTGATGATGCTCCCGGAATGGAAATGGAGCCATGGCCATAAGCAGCTGTTTATTTTTTTTTGAAGGAGGGGGTGGGGCGGGGGAGGGAAAGGGGACAAGCAATCACAAAGAGAATTTAGGATTTTCAACACTGCCCCTGGTTTTCCATGACTGCCCGGAAGAATGATGCAAAGGAAGGAGGGGGGAGGGGGGGGAGGAGAGGGGAGGAGAAGAAACTGCCAAAAACTGTCTCGAAGGGAGGTCATCGCATAGTTTTGTTGTTTTGCTGATCTGTTATGTTCTGTTCTGCTCTTCCTTTGAGCTGCACACTTTGCAGGTGTATGAACTCGCAGGCAACGATGTGAAGAGAGTCATAGCGGTAAATCCTCTTCCTCCTCCTCCTACTCCTACTCCTGCTCCTACTATTCCTTCAACCCATCCGTCACTGATGATCATCATCCATCATCCATCATCCATCATCCATCATCCATCATCCATCATCACATCATTACATCGTCACATCATTACATCATCATCATCATCATCATCATCATCATCATTCATCATTCATCATCGCCATCATTGTCCCTGTGCAGCAATGTCTCTTCGCACAGATAGAGCATAGCTATTGGAAACATTACGGAAAAGAGGATAGTGGCTGTAAACACTATACATCACACAATAAGTCTCTCTCTCTCTCTCTCTCTCTCTCTCTCTCTCTCTCTCTCTCTCTCTCTCTCTCTGGTTGGGGCCAGTGCATTCATGATGAAGAAGAGAGAGCGGTACGGCCAAGTGTCTCTCCCTGTGGCAGACATAGCTGCTCAGGATGAAGATGGGGTGTGCGGGGGGGGGCTTAGGAGGATGATGGGAAGAGGAACAGCAATGTGCAGTGGGACCTACCTGATGGTGACCGAACAGAATCATTAGGGAAGACGGAGATTGAAGTGTGTGTGTGTGTGTGTGTGTGTGTGTGTGTGTGTGTGTGTGTGTGTGTGTGTGTGTGTGTGAGAGAGAGAGAGAGAGAGAGAGAGAGAGAGAGAGAGAGAGAGAGAGGAGTGGGAAGTAGGCCGAGTAAGACAGGAGGTAGCATAGTCGGTTGCATTGTAGAGAACAGCTATATTGTTGTCATTGTTTTGATACCTGGAGGCGAGTTGTCGGGGTTTTGTATCAAGAGACTCTCAGACTGGCATAATTGTACTCTCGTGTGGCGTGATTTTGGCTTGTCATCTGCTTTTGACTCTGCTCTTATGTGCTTGCTGTACTTTGTGTCTTTCTCTGCAATGGAAAAATTGGAAGCTCATCACGTGGTTGAAGTTGGTTCCTTGCATTATCAGTACTATTGTAATTTATAAATTTATAATATTATATTGTGAGGAACAAGCCCTCAAGGGGCCCTATCAGACATCACATTGTTCTGGGCTAAGGCCCCCAGCAAGCCAAGTGCCCGCCCTAAGTGAAGGCGGGCCTGAATATTCGTCAAAGGCAAAATTCGACATTTCCATATGTGGGTATTCAGGCTCTCGCAGGACGCCAGTTGGTTGGGTAGACGCGCGGGCCTCACATTGCTGCGTCATACAGTTGGCCAAGACCTTGACAGTTGCGCCTGGGCACACATACAGAAAGCAGGGCCGATACATTGGGAAGCAGGCCATCGGCCTTCACAAAAGCAGTAGTGCGGACTCACCTGCCTGGGAGCCCTGCACAGATGCAGCAAACAGCCCAAGTCCGGAGACTCAGGCCGTGCCTAACTGCAAAGGGCCCAGGCCCTCAACTGTAGTCGCGGGTCTGGGCACAGGGTCTGAGACCCAACCGGAAGCTACTGGAAGCTTCCAGCCAGGCCACTCGCAGCATCCAGGAGGCTGCCACTTCCACAAAAGGAGTGAGGCAGCCCAGGCCAGGCATTCTGGCCAGTGCTGGCAATGCAGAAGTGCTGCTGTGCTCTCGCTTGATGCTGCACTGCTGCCAAAGGCGCTGACGGGGCGCGTAGAGGTGAGGAGGGGGGCTGCAGGGCAGCGGGGCGCAGGCGGCCATAGCCGGGCTGCTGGGCGCTAGGGGGGTACAGCGGGTGATCCGGTGGTCTTCAGGGAAGGAGGCGCTGTGTGGGGTAATCAACGTCTGATTGAGGGTGACGAGATACGTACCTGGTGCATGCAGAGAGGTCGGCTATGGGGTTGACAGTCATGTACATTGGTCTTCGAGAGTCGAAGTGAGCCTGTTGCGTGAACCAGCTATAGGTAGGATAGTCGGGCAGTGTAGGTTGGGCGCTGGGCGCCATACAGAGAGGAGCGACTTTGATACTGTGTTGGTGTGGCCTACGGGCTTGAACCTTGGCTCATTACTTCATTGTATTGCTCTATATGGATGGTTTCTCGGTGCATTTTGTACTCTCTGCTTGGACGCGACTACCTGGACATCTGTGTGATTTCGCAACTTGGTTTTCTGTATATCGTTCACACTCATATTCCTTGCAATTTGGTATCGGAGCTGGTTCGTGATCGCCACTTACCTGGCACCGGCGACATTGTTACTTGGTGTGCTGACGATGCTTCATGTGCAGTAAGGATGCTTTGGCGCTGGTATGTATTAGCGGGGCCTAGGCGGAGAGGCCGGCCGCTGGAAGGCTGTGATGACAGCGTGGGAGCTGTGGCGACAGCGGGTGTATGCATGATGATGAGAGAATGCTGACGTGGCATTTTGGTTGAGGTGGCACTGCATTGCGCTGTGGGTGGTACCGAGGCTATTGACTGGTCATCGAAATGCACGTCGGCCCAATTGGTGCGAAATTTGTGGTTGGGGGCAGCTATCACCAGGTATGTTGTTCCCATTCCTTATCTACCCTCTCAATCTCTTCTTACCGTGAGGAAGTGAGTCCAACTTGAGTGTCCTCTCTTTGGTGAGGAGTCGTGTGCGATCTACCTTGAGAGACGACATTCTTCCCGGTGGCGCATCTGGCAGGAGAGGGCGGTGCCTCTGAAGGGCCCTGGTCGAAGCACGGGTCACGGTCACCATGCCAACCCATGGGAGTAGTACACGCAGGCCATGCTGCTTTGTCCATCGAGGCTCTTTGCTGCGCTAATAGAAGGGGTGTGCGGACTGACCAGTCCTACGGAGACGCTCCCAGACCGTCTATAAACATTTCTGGTTGGGGTCTGAACTGTCCACTGACTGTGATCGTCGTCCTGATTGAGACGTTAAAGAATTCCTGAGGACTCTCGGAGGCTGTCCTTAAATTGCCTCTTGATCAGCTAGATCAATCGGACGTAAGGCTCGTTGCACGCGAGGGTAAACAAAGGGCAGGCTGGTCATAAGCATACTTCTTGGGCACAGGGGTGGGCCGTGGTTGCACACCTCAGACACCGTAGCTTGATGATGCTCATAGGTACGTTGGATACAGGGGAAGGGGATTCCAATTGTGAACTCAACTAAACATCACTACTTTAACCATTGTGCATACATCTGCTCACTGTAGTTTATTTTTATCTTGATTAGTTGGTTGACAGACTGCTAACACCAAACAGACAGCCTAGTGTAGAATTGTAAACTACCCTAGTCAGTTCTTCTAAAAGCTTTTGTGCAGAACCAATCAGGATAGAGGTGAATTACATGTGTACAGTCCGTGTAGGCGCTGTTGATGATGCTCGAGTTGTAGTCTAGGTAACTCGTCGGACAACAATTATATTATTTATTTTTAGAACCGGTCAGACGCATGCTGTGATAGGTCCCAAAAAGGACATTAGTGGAGACAACGTCTGCCTAGCCCATGAGTGGATCACAGGGTGCTGAAGGGACAGCTGACGATAGGAGGCAGACACGGCGGGAGACCGGTAGGATACCAGTTGTGTTCTAGGTTCTACTACCAGGAGACGAGAGAAGGCTTAGGGCCGAAGCAAGGGCCCGTAATCTAGAGACTGCGAGAGAGGCAACACCAACGGTTGAACGTGCGTTAGCAGCAGCATCGGCTAGCGCAGTAGCTATGGCTACTTCTTCATCCACTTCTGCGGCACAATCCACTGGTCGTGGACCCACACCCTAGAGAGCTTTATGGACTTAGTAGAAGCACGTTGGCACAATCCTCATCAGGCACAGATTGCCACTGATGGATTATTAAAGCTTGATGCTAGAAAGTACAAGTCTGTGCGAGAGCTTACTACAACCGTAGAGCACCTAATTGTCGTCCCAGGAGTGGAGTACAATCCACAAGTCTTATTGACCATGTTCTTAAGATGTCTTCCCACAGACATCAAGAACTTACTAGCCAGCGAGGCTCGGCTAGAGTATCTCACATTTGAGACATTCAGTAAGAAGGCTCTAGACTTAGAAGTTACGCTGGGTAGTGCTCAAACCCCTTCTACGACCAGGAGAAAGAAGAAGACTCCAAGAAGGGTAGTCGATTGATGATGGTTGATTCCGAAGGGAATCAAACTGAAATCCATAATGTTTCTGAACTTGTGGAGGGTGCAGAGTTAGACGGTGAGGAGAGTGCTGAGGGTAGTAACCTCGCCGCAACAGTAAAGACTAAGGCAGGTGGTCGCGGCAAGGGCGGTCAGCAAAGGAGTCGGGCAAGCCGCCAACCCAAACAAAATAGCTGCTTGGGTAAGGGCTGGTTTGGATCAGGAAGTGTGGCGGGACCATTGGTCGTGGGGAGCTTGCATAAACTGCAGTGAGTATGGCCATACGCAGTTTAAGTGCAAGAACCCGAAGGTCTCGCCGAAGATCCCTCCTAAGGGTGGGTTTCCTTCTTCTCAGACTGGGGCCTCTACGAGCTCCAGCTCGTGAAACACTTAGGGCCGGTAGAAGATGTAACTGCTTCTTCTTTCGTTGAAGCGGTTGATGTACCCTCCCCGTTTCAAGAGTTGGCCAAAGCTATTGACTCCTTAGTCACCCCGCAGACGCATCCGGACCCAACTATACTCTGTACGTTCGATGTGTCTGAAGTCTTAGAGGACCTTCAAGGTGAGTGGTCGGCAAGGGACCCTCGTGAGCTCTGGATGGCATTCAGTAGAGGTCCTAGAGGGGAACACTTCAGTGTGGAAGTTGGTGAAGGTGGTTGCAAGTGTGGCGCCTTCGTAGACATTGGCTCCACGCGAAACTTCATAAGTCGCAACTGCGTTGAGAGACTGCGCCTAAAGGACCAGGTGCAGTGCCTTAGTAGACCGGTAGCATCTACTTTGACCAACAAAGAGCGCATGACAGTGGAAGACTACGTGAAAGACGTAGTCTGCACTTTCTCCTACCCAGGAGGAGAATTAAATCATAAGATATTTTTCCTGGTGAGCGGCGATTTGCCTTTCGGCATGTTGTTGGGCATGTACTACCTCGAGGTTGCCAAGCCCCAGTTTGACTGGGACAAAAAGGTGTTGAAGCACGAGTTGCCAAATGGGAGGACCGTTAGGCTGGCTAAGTATAAAGCTAGTAGGTTAATAGACTCCTATGGGTGCTTATGTGCATCTGGCTTCTATAACTATTATAAACAGAACCAAGAGGAAGGAATGTACTTGGTCTATGTCTCTGCGAAAGGGGAGGCCGTTAAAACACCCCCAGAGATAGAGACCATCGTCGCTAAGTACCCTGATCTGTTCGAGGAGCCCTCGGGAGTCGTAGACAGGGAGGTTGTCCATGCCATAGAGATCATCCCAGGTAGCAAGACACCTAAAGGGAGAATCTATAGGATGGCTCCGACCGAGTTGGACGAGCTTCGTCGACAACTGAAAGAGCTCACAGAAAAGGGTTGGATTCGGCCTAGCACTTCCCCCTTTGGCTCGCCAATCTTATTTGTTCCAAAGAAATGGGGGACACTAAAGATGTGCATTGATTGTAGAGGCCTCAATGCCATCACCGTTAAGAACGCAGAGCCTCTACCCCGCATCGACGACCTATTGGATAGGGTGAAGGGGTGTAAGTATTATACCAAGATAGACTTAAAATCCAATTACCATCAGATTGCCATAAGACCAGAGGACCAGCACAAAACCGCATTTCAGACCAGGTACGGTTTGTACGAGTTTGTGGTGATGCCCTTTGGCCTTTGCAATGCGCCGAGTACATTCCGACACACCATGAATAGGATCTTCTATGATTACTTAGATAAGTTCGTCGTCGTGTACCTCGACGATATATTGATCTTTAGTAAAACTGTCGAGGAGTATGCTCAACATGTAGACAAAGTACTTTCACTCCTCCGACAGCACAAGTATAAGATAAACGCAAAGAAATGCGAGTTCGGTAGCACTCGAATCTTGTACTTGGGTCATGAAGTATCCGCAGATGGAATTAGGCCCGAAGATACAAAGGTGGCTAGCATAAGTGACTGGCCACGACCCCAGTCTGTGACTGAGGTCAGATCATTCTTGGGAATGTGTGGTTATTACCGCAATCTCGTAAAAAATTATAGTACGATCGCATCTCCCTTGACTGATCTAACTCGACTTGACACACCATGGGACTGGACCGACGAGTGTGAGGCAGCTTTCAAGCGGTTGAAGCATGCTCTCACGCACCATGAAGTTCTCATGGTACCCGATCCGCAAAGGCCATTTGTTGTAACCACTGACGCAAGCCAATACGGCATTGGCGCAGTGTTGGCTCAGCAGGAAGGGAAAAAGTTGACACCGGTCGAGTACATGAGCCAAAAGATGCCATCAAAGAAGTTGGCAAAGTCCACCTACAAAAGGGAACTCTATGCTCTCTACAAGGCGCTTGTCCACTTGAGGCATTATCTGTTAGGGAGGTTCTTCTATTTGAGAACTGACCATCAGACCCTCAAGTGGATCAAGACCCAACCAATTCTCTCCGATGCACTCAAACGCTGGATTGAAGTCATAGATCAGTATGACTTCAAACTAGACTACGTGAAGGGAGAGTACAACAAGGTTGCGGATTCGTTGTCTAGAAGGGCAGACTACCTAGGTGCGCTGATTTATGAATTTGGCTTATCTGACGACGTGACTCGATCTTTGGGGGAAGCCTACAAGGAAGATCCCATCATGATGGACATCATCAACAAACTACAGGCCAAAGACAAGGTCACGACTGACGAGTTTGTGATGGTGGATAGGTTGCTCTTTCTTGAGAAGGTAGGGTTTCTAGTGAAGTTTCACGTAGTTTATTTTTAGGAGAATGCCACGACACAACGGGACATTTCGGATATAAGAAGACTAGTGTTAATTTAGTACAGTGATTTTGGTGGCCTAACATGCTAGACGATGCAAAGAAGTACGTACAGACCTGTCAGGTCTGTCAGCGGGACAAGCCGCGGACTCAAGCTCCGCTTGGGTTACTCAAGCCTCTACCCATTCCTGCTGGCCCAGGGCAGAGTATCTCCATGGATTTCATGGACACTCTCGTGACCAGCAAGAATGACAAGAGGCACGTCTTCATCATAGTGGATAGGTTCACTAAGTATGCTAGACTAATTGCCATGTCGGAGACTGCGAGGACTGAGCACGTCATTAAGTTGTTCATGGATAACTGGGTGCGTGACTTTGGACTGCCAAAGACCATCGTTAGTGGCAGAGATGTGCGTTTCACAAGTGGATGTGGAAGACGACCGCTGAACAGATGGGCAGCCAACTTCAGATGACTTTTGGGAATCATCCCGAAGCCAATGGGCAGGCTGAACAGATGAACCGAGTGGTGCAACATCTGCTGAGGCATTACATCAAGCCCAACTAGGATGATTGGGATGAGAAATTACCTCTCATCGCCAGTCTGTACAACAATGCTGTACATAGCAGCACCGACGTCAGTCCGAATCAACTGCATCTGGGATGGAAGCCTAGATCTGCTCTAGACTTCCTCCTGCCTGAAAACCGAACTGCTGCAACCCCTGGAGCCATTGAATTTGGTGTCCAGTATGAGAAATTGCTGCAGCAGGCTGTCGAACACATTAAGAAATCTCAGCAAGCCATGATAGCTTATGAGAATAAGCGCCGACAACAGTCCACATTTCAGGTAGGGGAACGTGTCTGGGTCAAGGCTAGTGAGTTGGGACAGGAGTTTGGCATCTCTAGGAAACTAATGCCTCAGTATTTCGGTCCCTGGGAAGTCTTAGACATTGTGGGGACTGATTTGGATGGTCCCTCGTAAGTCATTCGTATCCCTGGTCACTTACGCACTTACCCTGTTTTTCATGCCTCCAAGCTTGCACCTTTCGCTGAGACAGCACAGTTCCCATCACGGAGATCTATGCTGCCCCCAACCATGGATGGCCACGTGGACGTCGACGACATCCAGGATCACAGAGACACGCCTGTTCCCAAGCCACCTGGCAGGGGAAGACCTCCCAAACCTGTGAGGGAGTACAGAGTACATTTCAGGCATCATACTGATCCGAAGGAAGATCGTTGGATTTCAAGGGAGGAACTTGTCAAGACAGCTCCTCAGATCGTGGCAGATTATGAGAAGAAACTGAAGGGGAAGGCACCAGCATGAAGCATCTCAGCGGACTTTCGAAGCTAAGGGGGATGGAATGTGAGGAACAAGCCCTCAAGGGGCCCTATCAGACATCACATTGTTCTGGGCTAAGGCCCCCAGCAAGCCAAGTGCCAACCCTAAGTGAAGGCGGGCCTGAATATTCGTCGAAGGCAAAATTCGACATTTCCATATGTGGGTATTCAGACTCTCGCAGCACGCCAGTTGGTTGGGTAGACGCGTGAGCCTCACATTGCTGCGTCATACAGTTGGCCCAGGCCTGGACAGTTGCGCCTGGGCACACATACAGAAAGCAGGGCCGATACATTGGGAAGCAGGCCATCGGCCTTTGCAAAAGCAGTAGTGCCGACGCACCTGCCTGGGAGCCCTGCACAGATGCAGCAAACAGCCCAAGTCCGGAGACTCAAGCCGTGCCTAACTGCAAAGGGCCAGGCCCTCAACTGTAGTCTCGGGCCTGGGCGCAGGGTCTGAGACCCAACTGGAAGCTACTGGAAGCTTCCAGCCAGGCCACACGCAGCATCCAGGAGGCTGCCACTTCCACAAAAGGAGTGAAGCAGCCCAGGCCAGGCATTCTGGCCAGTGCTGGCAATGCAGAAGTGCTGCTGCGCTCTCGCTTGATGCTGCGCTGCTGCCAAAGGCGCTGACGGGGCACGTAGAGGTGAGGAGGGGCGCTGCAGGGCAGCGGGGCGGGCGACCATAGCCGGGCTGCTGGGCGCCAGGGGGGTACAGCGGGTGATCTGGTGGTCTTCAGGGAAGGAGGCGCTGTGTGGGGTAATCAAGGTCTGATTGAGGGTGACGAGATACGTACCTGGTGCATGAAGAGAGGTCGGCTATGGGGTTGACAGTCATGTACATTGGTCTTCGAGAGTCGAAATGAGCCTGCTGCGTGAACCAGCTGTAGGTAGGATAGTCAGGCAGTGTAGGTTGGGCGCTGGGCGCCAGACAGAGAGGAGCGACTTTGGATACTGTGTTGGTGTGGCCTACGGGCTTGGACATTGACTCATTACTTCATTGTATTGCTCTGTATGGATGGTTTTCTCGGTGCATTTGAACTCTCTGCTTGGACACGACTACCTGGACATCTGTGTGATTTCGCAACTTGGTTTTCTGTATATCGTTCACACTCATATTCCTTGCATCATTTAATTAGCCTTATTAAGTTATCATTTATTAAACTGATTGGAGCACAGATTACACTTGATCTGAACCAAAAACCTGAGAAACTTGAGAAAATTTCAGAAAATTTGAGAAAATGGCATTTTTTATATTTTTAATTATTGTGAGGAATGTGTCCTCATGGGGCCCTAGCCAACATGCACATGTTCTGGACTGTGCCCCCCCCTAGCAAGCCCCGTGCCCGCCCTAAGTGAATGCGGGCCTGAATATCCACGAGAGGCCCTTATGTCAGCATTTTCCAATGTGGGTATCAGACAGTTGCCGCACGCCAGTTGGTTGAAGTGCAACCTGGGCCTCTGTCTGGGCTCTTTCCAGCAGCAGCAGCTGCGTCAAGCAGTTGAGCCCAGGATGCAGGTGGTTGCGCCCTGGGCACACGCAGTGTGAGGCCGACAGATCACGAAGTGGCTGCGCGCCCCGCGGGCCAATGCAAACACGGCAAACACTTGGAGCCTGGAGGCATCCTGAAGGTGCCCAACCGAAGTGGGCCCAGGCCCTTAACTGTAGGATGGGCCTGGGCGCAGACACTGGGGCCCGACCAGAAGGTACTGGAAACTTCCTCGGCCAGGCCGAGGCAGCCCAGCAGGGCAGCTACTCCCATATAGGGAGGAGGCCGGATGCGGACACGCTGCTGTATCACTGCGCAAGTGTCTGCGTTAGCACTGCTGGCTGGGGTGTATGCGGGCGCTATGAGGTGAAGTGGCGTGCTGCAGGGCAGCGGGCCGTTTAGCGGCCATAGCCGGGCTGCAGGGGCGCGGGCAGGTGACGGGCGATGGTGGTCTTCAGGAAGGAGGCGCATGAGTGGTTGGACAGGGTCTGATGAGGGGAAAAGAGAGAACATACCTGGTGTATGTGGGATGTCGGCATTGGTGTTGACGTCATGTACATTGGTCTTCGACGGCAAAGTGAGCCCGTTGCACGAATGTAGATAGGATAGATAGGCTGAGTAGAGTAGGCTGGGCGCTGGGCGCCATACAGTAGGAGCGGCATTGGATACTGCGTTGGTGTGGCCTGAGGGCTTGGACATTGGCTCATGAGCTCATTGTATCGCTCCTATGTGGATGGAATCTTGGTGCATTTGAGCTCTCTGCTTGGTACATGACTATCTGGACTTCTGCGTGATTTTGTAACTTGGTTTTCTGTTTATCGGTCTCGCTCATATTCCTTGCATTATTTCATTTATTTTCAATATTTTAGTAATTTTATTATTTTACAATTTTTACTATATTAGTATATTTGACTATTTAGTGGTATTCATATTTAACTGTTGGCGAACAGAGAATTCCTGATGGAAAGCATGCACGAATGCCACGAAGGGGATCTTGTTCCGGATATAAATTATTTCGTGTTCTCGTGTTGTTATGTCGTTCTTTTTTGTACCATGTTGTTATGTCGATCAATGCTGCAGGCTGAGAAGCCGGCTGCAATTAAGTGCGGAACATTCGGAGCATCCAGCCTGGTAAGCTGCATGAAATGTCAGGAAAAAAAAAAAAAAAAAAAGGTGGATCATAATCCTAATATCTTGTCACGTGGAGGGAATCATTCACAATAAATGAAATTCACCATTCCCTTTTTTTTTTTTCTTTTTTTCTTTTGTGAAGTTGCCATTCCTTATCCCTGCCTGCTTGGGCCCAAAGTGGCCATCTGAGACGTCGAGATGGGCGAGAGTCACGAGACCACCTCGTTTTTTTTTTTGTTTTTTTTTTTGTTTTTTTTTTTTGTTTTTTGCTTTTGGGAGGCAATCAGTGAGGGTGAGGCTCCACTTCTGTTAGGTATATGTTAGCGAAACACGAACATGACCACGATGACAACCAGATTCCTTCTTTCCACGTAAGCCTGACTATAGCACCACCAGTGTGGCAGGACCCCCCCCCTTTTTTTTTTTTTTCGGAGGAGGAGGCAATCAGTGAGGGTGAGGCTCCACTGCTGCTTGGTATATGTTAGCGAAACACGAAGATGACCCCGATTACGACCAGGTGAATTGAATAGACTGTGAGATGCATGGAAAATTGTTTATCCAAGTGCACAGCACACAGCTACCATCTTCTCCCCTGAACACAATGCACCCTGATAACGAACGTATGCAATCTATCTTTCTGGTCCGGTGCAGCCAGTCCAGCTAGGCCGAATGCTTCGCAGCCAGCACAAAAGAGGGAGAGAATGTCTCACCCAAACATTGTGGCTGACTGGACATGGCAGCGCTGCTGGAGTTCTCGCTGGTGCGGATGAGCGCGCCAGTCAGAGGCGGGAAGGGCGCTGGCGGTGCGCGAGGAAGCCACGAGGCGCAGCAAGGCAGGGAGCCGCATCAGCCATAGCCGGGCTGCTCGCGGCCATAGCTGGAAGACGAAGGCGGATGTCCTTGGGTAGAGAGGGACTGTGCAGGAAGTCAGGGAGTGGAGGTGATGTAACGAGGCACTCACCTGGTGGACAGGAAGACGGTCCATACCCGCGGAGTCTTCATGCATTCATCGGGCAGATGAACTTGATCGTCGACCTGTTGTAGATAGGAGTCGAGGTCGTAGGAGCTGTCTGTTTGTTGGACTGGGCGCCAAGCGCCAGTGTAGAAGCGCTACACTGTTTGACATTTGTGATGGGAGGTGAGAAGAGGGCTTTCATTATCTTGTGACGTCAACGCTTTCCTCGTACATTATTTGTTGTTATCTCAGTTTGCAATCTGCTTTCAGTAAGGGCTCAAAGTTATTTGTATTTCTATGGCATGCTGCAATCTGGTTTATTCACCTTCATTGTCGTTCGCATTGCTCATTGCCTTGCACTTCTATTTTTCTATTCCTTTTTGGCCCGGCTGAGCATGTTGTCCTGGACCACGCTCGTAACGTAGCTGCTTTATCATTTTTTTGAAATTATTTCTTTAATATGCTTTGAAGTTTAAGGTTTCAACCGTTTTCTTTCTATTTTATATATTGCTAATTTGCTAATCCTTTTGGGGCCCCTCCCTTTTTTTTCTTCTTTCCCTCTATCAAATATGACCATATAGGCGCACCGAAACCTGGCCACTGGAGACTTTGATGGAAACCTCCATATATGGTGAGCATCACCTCTACTTGTTCCTGTCTTTTCTCTTTTTTGCCTTAGTCTTTTTTCAACTTCTCTCTTTGCCTGCTTGTTCTATGTGCAAGACTCCAGACAGCCATTGTCATGAATGTGAAGCACAACAAAAGACAGCCATTGCTCATAGAAACAGCAACAGCGATCGCAGCAGCACCAGACGTCATGGAAGCATGACGACCACCACCACGAGCTGCAGTGGAAGTGGTAGCAGCAGAACCATAAGGAGGAGGAGGAGGAGGAGGAGGAGGAGGAGAAGAAGAAGAAGAAGAAGAAGAAGAAGAAGAAGAAGAAGA